CTAAAATACACCTTTGACCTCCATGACTCTGGTAGAAATTCACTGGTTTTAAGAGGTTCATACAACTTGTTGAAAGTGGTTAAATCTATAGCTTACGTTTTAACAATGTAATTTCAGATCCAGGGTGCAATGCTTATATAATATGATATAACAATTATTTGAGCTCAGGTACTGACAGACATATTGTGTAGTCCCTTAACTAGAAAATAATCAATCCCAAAGTATCAAATTACCAATTAAAGATCGTTCACTAAAATTACTACCATTCTGGGTCAAAGAAATGCCCAAGGAGAACTTAAGTCAGATACTTGACATTACTTCAACAGATTTCTAAGTTTCTACAAAATGGAAATCACTCTAGGGTACCAAAGTACCATGACTCCAGGAGAAAGAAATGGATGATGACCAATAGCTTAATATGGAATAAAAATGGACAAAATTTTATCTAGGAACATCATGAAAAAGGCTACATTTATGAGTGACATGATTCCTTGTGCAAAATTACGGTAATTTTAGCAGAACACCTAATGTACAAAATTAGGTCCCTTGGAACCTCTAATAGTTTAAACTTAAGCCCTAAAAATATTATTTGGTGGCTATTATATATAGTGCTAAGTCTGTTAGCAACAACATGGATGAAGCTAGACAGTATAATGCTAAGTAAAATAAGTCAGTCAGAGAAAGACAAATACCACATGTTTTCACTCATATGTGGAAATTAAGAAACAAAACAAATGAAAAAGGAAAAAAAAAGAGACCATAAAACAAACTCTTAACTATAGAGAACAAATTGATGGTTACCAGAAGGGAAGTGGGTGGGGGATGGATGAAATAGGTGAAGGGAATTAAAAGTACACTTACCTTGATGAACACTGAGTTGAACACTGAGTAATAAACACATGGAGGTGCTGAATCCCTGTATGGTACACTTGAAACTAATATAACACTATATGTTAATTATCCTGGAATTAAAATTTAAAAATACAATTAATTTTTTAAAAAGATTATTTATTTATTTATTAATTTGAGAGAGAGCATGAGAGGAGAGAAGGTCAGAGGGAGAAGCAGATGCTCCATGGAGCCGGGAGCCGATGCAGAACTCGATCCTGGGACTCCGGGACCATGACCTGAGCCGAAGGCAGTCACTCAACCAACTGAGCCACCCAGGCACCCAAAAACTACAATTAATTAAAAAAAAGAAATTATGAGTCAGCAAAAGCTCAAGGGTAAAGAAGGACATAGGAGGGAACAAAAACAATCAAAGGCAGGGTGAAAGAGCAGAAATGTAGACCAAATATACCCAATGAAGAAACATCGAGGGTTTTTCCAGATGCCTCCATTTCCTAATGGCTTTATAATTTTCAGCCAAGAGAGAGGCACAGCCAACTCAGCAGTTCCTTTCATGGATTTCTACCAAAATCCCTACCTCCCTTACTGCTCACTATCCTCTGCAGCCTTACAAATTATGATCCTCTCACTGGATCTATCATTTTTGCTCCTCGTAACAAAAACCTTACAAAACCAGAGGTAAAATACAAAACTGTGTAATAAATTTGTTTTGTCCCGTTCATAGCACAGAGCTCCAAAAAACGGAGAGAAAGGAGTATTCTTTTGTTATTCATAAGAAGCCCCTTTTGACCACAACTGAGTTTATGCTTATGAGGTGACTCAAGGCAGGCCTTAGGATAGTTTAAAGAGAGAAGGGATGGCCATGCCAGAAAGACCACGCACAGGATTAGAAGGCGGGAATTTTCAGCCCCAGCTCCTAGACCTCTAAGGAGAGAAGGGCTAGAGACTGAACTTGATAATCAAGTGGCCAACAACATAAGACCCCCAATAAAACTCTGAACACCCAGACTTCGCCTGATTATGGTAAACACTGATGTGCCAAAAAGGCGACGTTACTGGAGTCCAAGGCGAGAGAGTACAGAAGCTCCTTACCTAGAACACTGCGCCCCCCCATTCTGCCCAAGACCTTGTCCTGTGTATCTCTTTCATTTGGCTGTTCCCGAGCTGTACCCTTTATAATAAAACTGTAAGTATAGTACTTTCAGGGAGTTCTGGAAACTGTTCTAGCAAATTAACAAACATGAAATGGCCATGGGAACCCCCGAATTTAGCCAGCTGGTCAGAAATACAGGTGGCCTTAAGACTTGCTGATGAGAAGGCAGTTTTCAGGAAGGCTCTGCCCTTACCTTCTAGGATATGGCATTAACTTGGGGTAGTTGGTCTCAGAAATGAATTGAATTGCAGGACAGCCAGGTAGTGACAGAACAGTATCAATCTCTCATTGTTAAACTACCAAATAAGTAAATTATTTACTTTTCCTCAACACAGTATATTTTCATTAAGAAAAAGAAAATCGGGGCGCCTGGGTGGCTCAGTGGGTTAAAGCCTCTGCCTTCGGCTCAGGTCATGATCTCAGGGTCCTGGGATTGAGACCCGCATCGGGCTCTCTGCTCAGCGGGGAGCCTGCTTCCCTTCCTCTCTCTGCCTGCCTCTCTGCCTACTTGTGATCTCTCTGTCAAATAAATAAATCTTTAAAAAAAAAAGAAAAGAAAATCAAGGAAACCACAATACCCCTCTACCCCCGCAAAATAACAATTACTTAGCTAAACCTGCCTCAAAAGATAACTAATGTTAACATTTTGGTGTACAGATTTCAACTTTTTAAATAAAGATTTATTTATCCATTTGAGAGAGAATGAGAGAGAGTGTGAGCAAGGGGAGGCAGAGAGAGGGGGAGACAAGCGGACTCCCCCCGCTGTGTAGCGAGCTCAACCTGGGGCTCAATCCCAGGACCTCCTGATCAGGACCTGAGCCAAAACCAAGAGGTGGATGTTTAACCAACCGAGCCACCCAGGGGCCCCTTAACATTTTTAACTTTACCAGGAAAATATATCAAAAAGGTTAGAGCAATTCATTTAATTTCTGATAATGGGCAAAAACAGGATTACCTAAATTGAATTATGTCCAGACAGCACAGTTAATCTGTTTTTAAACCTCTTGGCCCGTTATTTTAAACCAACTTTGTTTTCTAATTAAATTTATGTGAGACCACAGAACAAAAATTTCACACTCCCTTAGACTTCTTTTTTTTTTTTTTAAGATTTTATTTATTTATTTGACAGAGATCATAAGTATGCAGACAGGCAGGCAGAGAGAGAGAGAGAGGAGGAAGCAGGCCCCCCGCTGAGCACAGAGCCTGATGCGGGGCTCTATTCCTGGATGCCGGGCCGGGATCATGACCTGAGCCGAAGGCAGAGGCTTTAACCCACTGAGCCACCCAGGTGCCCCCTCTTAGACTTATTTCTTAAAGAATGGTTCCTTGAATGTCAAATTCCAAATTAATGTGTGGGGAAGAAATGACACAAGAATTTTAAAATTAACACACTTTTCACAGTTAACTGTCACAACAGCATGAGAAAAAAAGGAAGCAGAAAAGAAAAAGCCAGTGTGTCAAAGATTTTGTTAAAAATACTTCAGAGATAAGCTTAGATCACACTTTGACGTAAGAGTCCCAGATAGACACTCTCAAATTTTTCACATGCTGCAAATAGAACAGAAATCATGTATTTAAATTCACTCTTATCAAAATGGCCCACCCTCTTCCCTTCAACAGGGTATGAATGTGATCAATTATGGAATGCTCTAATTCCGATTTTTTATTATACATTCAACCCATGTACACAGAGAAGAGTTAACATAAGCAAGCCTAAGACTACAATCCTCAGGCCTGCTTTGCAAGGCTGGCCTTAGCTGGCACCCGGGAACTTTACAGGCAAACAGTTCCCTATCCCGGTAGAAAGCTTTTCCTAACTGATAAAGGTGGCTCACTATGCCTAGATCACTGGTAGAAATAATGTGGATCCTACCGAACACGTACTTTCCTTCTGAGAAGTGAATTTTGGTACACACGAAGCAGAAGGTGCCAGTGTGACCAGTCCGCAATAAAAACACGGGGTGCTGTGTCTCTATCAAACAGGCTTCCCTGGCTGCAACAGTGCACACGTGGTGCTGCATTTTTGTTGCTAGAGGATGTACTCTGTGACTGCTCACAGGAAGGAGAACATATGGAAGCCTGCATACAGATTTCTCCACACCCTTCTCTTTCTTCTTCCCTTATGACAATTTTAGAACGGTTATATATCCTTATTGTGCTGCTGTCATATATCTTGGCTGTGAGTACAACTACATGCTGAGGACTGTGACCTAGTGACCCCCAACAAACCATCCATTTTTTGATATTAAGATGCCAAATTATGTATTCTCCTCTAGGTTTCAAAACTGGGTTTTTATAACTGCAATTACATACATCTATTTACATTAATGATAATTAGATGTTTGGGAATGTTATTCTTATTGTCAAATCTGTTAAAATCATTGCATTAGATCTGTCAATAAATGAGGCTACATCTACAGAACATAAACTCACAGCTTGGCAGCTACTTCTGACTTAGAACAAAATGTCAAGCCACTCTTCAGGGGAAAAAAAAAAAAGCATCTTCCTAGCTAGGCAAATCATTCTCTTTTGTTTTGAGATGGTACCTTTCTTCAAAAAAAAGAAAAAAGAAGAAAAGAAAAAAAAGGTGGTACATTTGTTTCCTTAACTTGTTCCCAGCAAGATACTTTAGTGATGCAAAAGTTCTTTTTAGATCTTAAGCTATTGGTCTCAGCTGTAATATATCCTATATCCTACTTTTAATTAGTGACGTTACTATCAAGTTCCAGATAAAAACAGTCATTCTTATTTTACATTTTAAAAAGTTCAAGCATTTCTCTCTACTTGGATGGCTTCAAGGAGTGTAAAAAATCTCTTGGTGGCCCACTGTAGCTAACTTCTAGCAACCCTGCCTCAGATCTATATATGCTCTCTCTAAACTGTCTAAAGTAGTTCTCTAGGTTCAGTTAGAAAATGAGGGAGTTTCTCCTAACAAACTATAGCTGTTGATTTTTATTACCACATTATCTTCTTTTAATACTTCCAAATGCATACTTACCCTCATCCCTGATGCCAGAAACAACATGTCCATGCTATCAATCTTCTGTTAGGTTCTTTTCCATGGGAACAAACCATACTTCAGGGCCATGAGAGAATTCATTGCAGCTTCTGTGACTAAAAATTACAGTTGGTAAGGAAATGATGAGTCAAGTATAAAAATAAATTACAAGGGCATTCACCACAGCTGACATGTAAGAATAATCTTCAACAAGCCAATTTTTTAATTTACAAGATTGTAAGCATGCCCCCATCAATGCAACCAGAATACTTGTTTCCACATGAAGAACATTCTTTTCCTGTAGCCAAATTATATCATAAAATTGCTTAATCGGTACAGAATTTGAACAGGTGGCATAATTAGATAAAATAAATGTTCAATAACATTAGACTAAGACAGCCTCACATTCAGGAAGTTTATATACCAAAAGTTTAAAGGTGGTTTTGGTTGAATGATGGGATTATAGCTTATTTTGACTGTATTTTTTATATCCTGTGTTATCTGAATTGTTTATAAGTACCTCTTCACTTTATAACCAGGAACAATAGCACTTCCATTTTGAAATAACCTAGGAAAAATAACCACTTATTAAAATTAATAGAAAACAATCTAATTTTTGGCTATATATGGCATCAAATAAGCAAGGAATGACTTAAGAAATTAGAGATTCACATGATGAAAATTATGATTATTAGGATATAAAAAGTTTAATAAATGTTTTTAGAAGGGGAGAAGAAATGTTGCAAACATGTTAAATCTGACCAAATGAATGTCCAAATCAAATGCTATTACAATATCCCCAAGTGAATTTTTTAGACAAAGCAGAATTTTTTTAAAAGATTTTATTTATTTGACAGAGAGAGAGAGAGAGAGAGTTCACAAGTAGGCAGAGAGGCAGGCAGAGAGAGAGGCAGAAACAGGCTCCCTGATGAGCAGAGAGCCCGATTCAGGGCTCGATCCCAGGACCCTGGGATCATGACCTGGGCCGAAGGCAGAGGCTTAACCCACTGAGCCACCCAGGTGCCCCTAGACAAAGCAGAATTTTACAAAATAGTTCTTGCAGTAATTTATTTGAGAGAGAGAGACCGAGAGAGCAAGAGTGAGAGACAGTGAGCACAAGCAGGGTGAGAGGCAGAGCAGGAGAGAGAATCCTCCAACAGACTCCCCACCGAGCACAGAGCCTGATGAGGGGCTTGTTTCCAGGACCCTGAGATCATGACCTGAGCCAAAACCAAGAGTCGGCCACTTAACCAACTAAGTCACCCAGGCACCCCCTACAAAATACTTCTTAAATTCAGTTAATAATAAATTAGGGAAGAGTAGCTAAGAAAATATTGAGAAAGAATAAATAGGAAGTTTTACTACAAACAAGAAGGGCATAGATTAGGGGCCAGCAAACTAGAGCCAATGGGTCAACTCCGGCTGCCAACAGATTTTACACTAGTCGTCTGTGGCTGATTCTCCAAGCAAATGGTTGCAGAAGAGACTGTGTGGCCCACAAGCCTGAAGTATGAACTATCTGGGACTTCTACAGAAAATGTTTGCCAACCCTTGCAGTAGACTCTTCAACTATGCTGTCTTATCTGTAGCCTCTGCTTTAAGGGAGCTCATGCAGGCCAAGAAAAGGCAAATTTATGAGGTACTACAATCCATGAGTACCACAAGGAAGCAGAAGGTAGAAGGTAGAGAAATAAAGGTTGGGGAAGCCAGCTGATTACAAAAGAAGAATGAAGAGTGGGAAGAAGTTTTATTAAAAATGTGGGTGCTGGGGGCCACTCGAGGCCAACTAAATCACAATATCTTGCTTTGGTTTATTTTCAAAGTTCCCCAGTTAATTCTCAAGTACAACCGTGACAGAAAACCACTAAGCTAGGGGAAACGGCAAACGCAGAGCGGCTGCATAATGTCAATGGTCACGCACAAGAGCAACGATCCAAATGTACTGCCATTAAGGTACCTCAGGGCTGCTTCAATCTAGTTCCTGTATTCAATATTGTTCATTCAGAGTCCCACTAAATCCCCATCTTCCACTAGGTTCCACATGTTTACGTACAGTAAACCCCTATTAACGCGGTAGGCTGAGTGAGACTTCATTTCCTGGGACCAAAATAACCAAATTAGTATAGAAATTAGTATCAGGTATATAGTTCCATGAAAAACCCTCAGCAGAAAGAAACATTTGAAATTGTTAGGGTATGACTCTAGAGTGAAAATCACACACAATCCCCGCCACATATCAGGATGAAACGTTTTTTAGAAGTCCAGCTTATACTGTGGCAAAGCCACTAGTTAACGCAATTGCCTTTGTGACTCAGACATGTACCCATTCAGGGTGAAGCTCTGAGGCAATCGTAGTGGCTGATATTACAGCAACTTCAAAGAAAAAAGCAAAGCAGGGTTTGACAGTTTCCCTTCCAACAATGATGTACAAATTCTGATACAATCATGAGGTGCTGACACTAGAAAGCATGATTTTGTCTCTATTATAGATTTCTCTATGCCTACAGATAGGCATGATTCTCAGTTACCATTCCAACAGGCATGGAATAACATGGATAGAAAACAGATTCACAAATCTGAGAACCACTGGACTAATTCTGTCAGTTCTGGTTCCAAACATATACCCATTTCCTTCTCTTTTTCATTTTGAACGACTTATTTACTTGAGAAAGAGAGAGAGAGAGAGAGAGAGAGCATGGTGGGGAGAGGGGGAGAGGGAATTGCAAGCAGACTCCCTGATGAGCGTGGAGCCTGATGCGGGGCTCCATGTCAGGACCCTGAGATCACAATCTGAGCTGAAACCAAAGGTTGGATGCTTAACCAACTGAGCTACCCAGGTGCCTCCTTCTAAAGACCTGTTTATTGTCACAGCTGTTGCACAGCCCTTTATGATCAGGTTTTGTTTCACATTATCCAGTATTATATCCTCTCCACTGAGTACAGTTGGTGGGATCAATCTATACACTGCCAGCGTCCTATAAACTGTCTAAGCATGAAAAAACACAGCACAAACAAAGATAAACTAAGCCAATTAGATGTGCTCAAACTCTTTGAAATTTGAGAAGAAACAATGGGAAAAAGTAATTAACAATGAAATCTGAAGCTAATGGCAAAGCCAGGCAGAGGAAGATGAATGAGGGAAAATATAGCTAAGACAGGAGAATAGAAAGCTGAATCAAGTCAATGGAACAGTGAACAGGTCCACTAATTCCATGTGCTTAATCCCTAGAGCCACCATAGATGAATTTCCATGCCACTGTTCTTGAGATTCCTGTGAAATCGCTATTTTCCTTACTACGTGTATCTGTCCGATAAACACCTGCTTCTTGACATAAGCCTGTGTCTTATATCCTGAAACCAGAAATCCTATGTAATTTAGAAAATAGTAAGGAGTTGGGCTACATGAACAGAACTTTGGCAGGAATGTGAAATATTCAGACTTGATTATTACCTGGTACTGGGATAGAGAGCAGATACATCCACCACAACCCTGGCTGGTTTTAAGAACCTCAAAGTGTGGCAAAGTTATTGTCACAGGACCACACATCTAGTGAATGTAAGTTTGACACAATCACAACAGACAAAAATTCAAATGGCTAAGGAAGATCACAGATGGGTGAGTGCTTCTGAAATTAGAAAGCAAATTTCAAAAGTGTCTTTATGGTATTACTTCAGACTATGGCATCTGGCTTGACTTAGTTACTCTCCAACATTTATACTTAAGTACAAGTTGGAAAAGTACAGACAGAGCATCTTTAGAAATGAATATTTGCAATGATGAGCATATATACTTAGAGGTCAAGATGTAAAAATGTAATACAAACACATCTGAATTAAATGGTAGCCACACTCATAGTCCCATCTAAGGTAAACTGTCCCAGCCAGAGGTAGTTCTGGAGAAAAGTCCTAGACAGCAATAAATTTTAGAATATGATCTGTCTTGTCATCCAAAGGAGAATGTACCAGGTGTAGAATACACCACCCAAGTGCTGTGTTACTGCATAACTCAGAAAGTGACTACCCAAGCAGCCGTGAGCTAAGCCACTGAAATTCTTGCACTAAACAATGAAGTTTGTGAAATGCAAAGACAGTGAGGCCCATAGCCAAGAGAGTTGAACCGTAAAGGACAGAGTTGGGAAACATGAGATACAGCCAAGGATACCAGAGAGATAAGCAAGGTTTAATGATGAGTAATTGAAAATTTATGAGGATGCAGACTACAAAGCTAGGAGGTAAACTAAAGCTTGAGTAGATATGAGGAAGCAGAAACAAAAAAAGAGAAAAGGAGTGATAAAGAGGAATTAAGACATCATGTATGACATGGTATCCACAATTAATATTGTATTGAATACTGAAAATATGCTAAGAGAGTACATTTCAGGTGCCTTCCTAGAAAATTTTAAGTAAGTGAGAAGATAGTTTGGCATCCGAGTATAGTAATCATCTCACGATGTGTATCAAAACATTGGGTCTATACATTAACTATATCCAATATTTATTTTTAAAAAAGATGTTAAAGGTGACATACCAGAAGTAGGATACAAGCCCCTATTGCCGACGTTCCCAGATCGGTCTTTGAACCACCATGTCTAATCCTCAGACCATTTTCCTCAGAGGGGAAACTGAATTTTATTTTTTTAATTTTCTTTATTCGAATACAGGGTTTTCTGTATTTGAATTCATAGGCAATCCTTGTCTATCTTGGAGGCTGGCCACGCTTAGCTGTAGGTGGTCCAAATCGCCTGGATGGCCCGAGAGAAGTCTGGTTCTTGAAAACAAAGGAGCCAACAATACCAGAAATCGCTAACAGGATTCCAGCCACAACTGAAGCTCTCCAAGAATGTGAGTATTCTGGAACTGGCCAGGGAATCACATCTGGGAATAAGGAAGTGAGAATCTACCCCACATATTTTAAGAGAAAAACAGTCCCTAATAGTCCATGACAAAACTGCTAATGAGGCATTTAAAGCCATCAAAGATGATCCTTGTAAGGGATCTGGTAACTATTGAAAAAGAGCAACCTCAAAGGTTTTCTGTTCACGGCCAGGTAGTAAATAATTTAGACTTTGCAGGCCATGTGGTTTCTGCCTCACTGTTCTGAACTGGAGCAAAAAGCAGGCACAGACAACACACACATCAATGTGGTGCTATGTTCCAATAAATGTGGATCTGTAGACACAGTACATTTAACCTATGCCTGGAGTCAGCACACTTTCTGTGAGGGGCTAACGCTTTAGGCTGTGAACCAGAGTCCACTGCAACTATTCAGTGCTGCTGCAGCACAAAAGGAACCGTGAGCAACAGGGAATAAGCATGATCCTCTGTTCCAACAAAACCACATATTTGCAAAAACAAGCTGCCATGTGGGCCAGAGCTGGCCAAACCTTAGTCTATGCGAACTATTTGGATACTGTTACCTTACCAGCAATATAATTTATGGAAGCATTAACTGATCGGTATCCCTGTTATTTTCCACTCACTACGTACAAAGGGTAATTTTATCAGTACCGTCCCCTGGCAGAATGCAGTGTTTATGTTGAATTCCAGCAGGCACATACTGATCTGCACAGCAAGCTGCTCTAGCCCTTGGTGTGCCTGCACCTGAGCTAACACTGTGTAAGCAGTGGATTTTCAGTTGTGACTCTGACTCCTTTGATTCCTTTTTGTCGGGGTAGAAGAAAACATAACCCCATGGATATTGTCTAACACAGACATCACGCAGGAGCATGGGGGTGGGGAGAATACTCAAAGGTGAAAAGACAATGATAAACACACAATGAATAGCTGTGGGGGGGGAATGCTAGTTCATCCAAAGTGGTTTTTTCCAGAAACTGAAGGGACCGACACATCCCTCACACCATTTCTCTTGCACATCTGTATCCCCCTTTGAAAACAAGCCCTTCGCACGTGCCCCTGTCCTGGAAGAAGACAGTGACAAGGGCCCCACGAGGAGACAGGATATCCCAACAGTGAAGAATATGCTCGTCACATTGTAGTGCTTCAAGTATAGTAAGGTAGTTAAGATCTTTGGAGTGTGGCACATATAGTTCCACCACTGGCTCCCTGTGGCATGCTGGGGACACCACCTCTCTGATCCTCAGCTTTATTATCTACAAAGTAGGAATAAATCAGACTTCCCAGAGTTACTGTCAAGTTAAAATGAGATGACAAATATGCGTAAAGCACTTGCCCAGAACAGGAAATGCACTTATAATTAACTGATAATCACTGTTATTGTTATATGACCTCAGGCACAAAGTTTTTAAAAGTCACGCATGGGTGCTCCTACAAGCGTTATGGCTAGCCTAAAGAGAGAGACAAAAGAAAAAAAAAACAGACCTGCTGTCAACAAAAATAAAGAGCAGATAATGGGAATAGGGAAGCCCTAGTTCAGATAGCAAAAGCCAGATTTATACAACCCATTTTGGCCCATATAGAGAAAGAGAGAGGAAGACTTGCTTTCTGACAGCATGCTAACATTCATATCCTTATACAAGACTGATGTTGCTTTAAAATAAGCTGTGAAGGAGGACGCCTGGGTGGCTCAGTCAGTTAAACGTCAACCTTTGGCTCAGGTCATCATCCCAAGGTCCTGGGATTGAATCCTGCATTAGGATCCTTGCTCAGTGGGGAGTCTGTTTCTCTCTCTCCCTCTGCCTGCCGCTGCCCCTGCTTGTGCTCTCTCTCTTTTGCTCTCTGACAAATAAATAAATAAAATCTTAAAAAAAAAAGTTGTGAAGGACATGGAATATAGGGACTCCCTTTGTATAAATGTCTAGCCCAGGCTTCTCCTTAGGGAAAAGACAATTTTCCTATCATTTCAGTTCCCTGCGCAGGCTAATTATCTAAACACTGGCAGTAGAAATTATCCAAATATGCCAGAGATCAGATGAGGAACATTATGCTATGAAGGCACCATCTCAAGACCATCCTCATGGGAAAAGGTGACCTTTATTACTTTTATGAAAAACGGCAGACAGCAATGAATGATCTGGCATTCCCTAAAAAAGCTTAAAGTCAGGGTGGGCCTCTGCAAAGGTATCCCAGGGATGATCATACTATATATGCTGCCTACTTTAACTCTGGACCATTTAAGTGCTCCCTGGAGCCTATGAGGAGGCAGACCCCTTAGGAGCTAAAAACAAATACTAGTCCAGTTGATTTAAGTGCAATCCAGAAGACCCTGCTGCCTCTGAAATTAGTAACCCAAAGTGCTATATACTTGGCTGCCACTGAAATAATGAGTCTCTGCTATGAGCTGACTTTTGACAAGATATATGTAGCTCCACTGCCTGATAAAACTCCCAACAAATCTGGTTAAAAAGAATAGACTCCCCCCATAAGGGAAGTATAATTAGTGTCATATTGACAATATTTGTGACAAGTAGCTCATGCTACCTGGTTTACTTGGGAACCATTACAGTTCGGATCCTTTGCAGGGGTGATCACAGACTGGGTAAGCATGTATTTTACCCCAACTGTTTTGAGGAGGATGTACTACAGAATAAACCGCAGGCTTTAAAGGCACTGGTCCCCGCAAATGACATTTCTATGAGCCTCCCTGACAAGAGTCAGGGCAGTCGTCCTTTCTTTCCCTATTTACCTAAATCACCAAGAGGATCCCCTCTTCTGTTACACTTTTACTCATGTGGAAGAGCTAGCAGACTCTCTAAAACACTTTCCAAAAGACATCCTTCACAATTCAGCCTAGGGAGGGGTTACAAAAAGGAAAAAGATTGCTTTCATCATCTGTGACCCTCCCAGACTCAGCTTAGTCAGCCTCCACTATACTGAAAGACGTGGCAAGTATTAAAAGGGAAAATGGAGGGGGGGTGTCTGGGTGGCTCAGGCAGTTAAGCATCCGACTCTTGATTTCAGCTCAGGTCATGATCTCAGGGTCGTGGGATCAAGCCCCACATCAAGCTTCACACTCAATATGGAGTCTGCTTGAGACTCACTCTCTTCTTTTCCCTCTGCCCCTCCCCCAACTTGTGCTCGCTCACTCGCTTTCCTTTGCTCCCAAATAAAATCTTTTTTTTTTTTTTTTTTTTAAAAAGGGATACTGGGAAGTGGGGGAAAAACACAAGGTGTTGCTTAGTCTAACCCACCCATTTTTTTACCCCGTTTTCATACCCTAATGGAACATTTATGATACTTTATGCTCTTACTGTTTCTTTATTCTTTTCTTTACTTTCATAAGAATGACAGTTCCATGATGGCAGAACTCTGTTATTATCTAGAATAGTCTCTGGCAACTAGTAAGCACTTAATAACTGTCTGTTTAGAGGAAGGGAGGAAGTGCCACATCACAACCATTTCTTCTCTACCCCCAACTGGGGAACCTCCACCCAAACCACTGGCAACTTACCAAGAATTCCCAACTGCCTCAAAAGGACATCCATGGCAATGGCGATTCATTCTGGCTTGCTGATGAACCCACTGGGCAAGAAGCCTCAATATTAAGTGACAGGTAGGTCTTAGTGTTGCTCTTGACCAATGACAAGGTTCTGGCTGCCCAGGAATCTGCATTTTTAACAGGCATCCCAGGTGATTTTCTGCATAAAAAATTTTTACAACATGAACATTCCCTTCACTGGGCAAGAACAAGCTATTATAAAAATCTTTCAGTGTGCTGGGGCACCTGGGTGGCTCAGTGGGTTAGAGCCTCTGCTTTCGGCTCAGGTCATGATCCCAGGGTCATGGATCAAGCCCCGCATCGGGCTCTCTGCTCAGCGGGAAGCCTGCCCCCCCCCCCGCCTGCCTCTCTGCCTACCTGTGATCTCTGCCTGTCAAATAAATAAATAAAAATCTTTATAAAAAAAATCTTTCGGTGTGGAATAAAAAACATTTCTGTCTTACATGGCCTCCTTGGACTCAGATGGAACCTAGAGGAAGCACTGGGTAGAAGACACAGCACTGGCTTACATTCAAATCTATTTCCTACACCAACCAGCTATAATCTTGGGCAATATAAGCAATTCCCTCATCTGCAAAAATGGAAGAATGAAAAAAGGAAAGGTTCTCATTACTTTCTAACATAGTCTAAACATTTTAAGACTTTTTTTTATTCATACTGTGATGGGGAAAATATCAAGTAATCACCTAACACCAACTAAGACCACCTTCCCTGCCCCTTCCCACTAACTGGGCTAGCTCTCCAAAGCAACTAGCCACTTACCAAGACTTCACAATGAGTAGATAACCATGCGCAGGACATTGATCTAAGCCTCTCCCAATTCTCTAGTAACCTCACTGGGCCAGGCAGGGTTCAATATACCTCTTCACCAGTGGCATGGCTTCTGATCACACTTGGTGCCACCTGGAGAATAGCAAGAAGGAAGAAGAAACAAATGTTAAGACCGAATAGCCAAGGTTTGAGATACAGCTTTGATTTAGTTTTTACCACCTTAGTCAAGTCATCCAGCCCACACCATGGACCTCTGATTTTGCTCTCTACTTTATCTGGCAGACTGTTGCAATGTCAACAATTATTATTTAATAATAATTCCTGTATCCATTTTAAATGAGATTAACTCGGATACTGAGACACCAAATAACCACCTATATCAAAGTGTTAGAACTCAGATATTAACTCATGCTGATCTTCCTAGCTGCCTACAAGTCTTTTCCCCTCTTTAGACCCTCTGAGTGGGGGTAAACTTGATTCCTTGGGGGTCCTTCTCTGTCTGGCAGTTATGACCCTCCGTTCTGTAATTCTAGCTAAAAGAGCTTCCTAAAAGCGGATGAAACCTCCATCTATCTGGTCATTGGATGGCATTTGGTTCACATTAATGAGGAAAGGTAACAAAACCCTGGGCTCTGGGCCAAGGCCTGTCATTCACAGTCTCAATTCCCACCAGGACTCACTTTAACTGTGTGTGAAAAGGAATTAAACTATCTATTGCCTTATCCGATGCCCAGGTTACCAAAATGATCAAAGGGAGCTAGGCAGGCCAATGGCTACTCCCCTATCTCCCAAGACTCAACCACTAGGAAGAATGGGACTCTGAGACCTAAGACCCACACAGGATTAAGCCAAAGATCCCCAAGGGTCCTTTCTTTCTAAGAAAGCAGCCTAATGCCTCTAAGTTTCCCAGTCCCCAGCTGCTCAGCATGAAAACCCAGAAATCTGGCAATTCAGCAATGGCCCACAGCCCAAGCTAGTAAAATGATTAGATGCTGGCAGCACCAGCAAATGCAACTAGGTTTCTTGTTACCCAGTGAGAGGCAGACAACCCTTGAACCCCAGGAAAATTCAAGGAGCAGTTTCTCAGGGCTCATTTTTAACTACTGCATTCCCTGTTGGCAAAAATGTCTTAGAATCTACTAGTAATCATGAGAGCCAGGCAAAAAGCTCTCCCACCATAAGTGGGGAATATTTCATGCTGCCAGGCATTGGGGAAAGGGAGCCGGAGCCTTGATCAGCTCGAGCCATCTCTTTACTGGATAAAGTAAAGCAGCTGTTACTAGACAAAGATCTGCACACCTACAAGCAGCAGCAGCCACTAGCAATTGAGCTTATTACAGCCGTGAGGGACAAGCACAGGAAAGATATTTGTATAGGGCATAATTGGGAAATAATGGCAAATGTAAATGTAGACACCTCACCATGAACTGCCTGCACTAAGGAGCCAAGAACAGAAAGTGGTTGGTAGTTAATGCCTCTCTCTGAAGACAGAGATCTTATTTCCACCACTCCCTTCTCCCACTCCACCTAGCTCTTTTCTAAACTAAACTACTCCAGTTCCCAGCCCCCTTGCCACTCAATTTATTCCACTTCTGTTTAAGTCAACAAATTTCAAAATGGGAATACTTTCCATGTTTGACTAACTTTGAAAGTCATAAATGTACACTATGAAAAAAATTCCAGAAATACGTTAAGGATGGAAAGTAAAAATCGCAGAATCCCAGGAAGTTTAACACTTGGGGTATGTTTCTCCAATTACTTTCATGTACACAAACATTAATTTTTATTTCACAAAAACTGGATGAAAACCATACTATTGCCCTCTAGCTTTTTTTTTTCAATTAATATACTTGAGAATCTTCCCAAGTAAAATATTCATCTACAAGACTATTTTTATTTTTAATGCCATGTTGTAATATTACATGAATAATATTTTACCTATCCAAATGATCACTCATGAATAGCTAAGTTTTTTTCCCCACTTTTTATTGCTATGAACATTGTAAACATTCCCATACCTACATCTTTTAGGATATCCTTAGAATATTTCTTTAGGATTTCTTTAGAATATTTTGGGGTATATCTCTAGAAATGAAACTGTGTGGTCAAAAGACATGTAATACTTATTTTGCCATAATATATATAGCCAAACTGCCCCTACAAAGAACTACACTGAAACTGGATAACCCCACCAACACCAGTATAACATTTTTTTAGTATTTGCCCATGTGATAGGTATTAAATGCAATAATACATTTTTTATGAATTCAAACATTTATTACTAGGAGAATTACAAAGATGAGTAAGATACAGTCTCTGCCCTTGAGACTAAATGAAGGGAGACAGAAACTGGTAACATTTACCATTATCATGTTCATGATGAAGAGAAATTAGAGTTCAGTTTGTGGTGCTTCCTAAAATGACTCTGCGGCTATTGCTAACAGAAAAGGTCCAAAAGAGTATTATTTGACAGTACCCCAAATTAAAAATCCATCTTCTAATATTCTAAGGAGTTGTGCTAATCCTCAATCACCTAGGTGGCATTTTGATGTGACTTCATTGTTTTTCCTTCATCAAGTCTAAGTTAAGAACCAAGTAGAAGCTGCTGGGAAAATGACCCATTTCCCTGCGCCACCCCCCACCAGCCCCAGGCAGTAAAGTGAATGAAGTGTAGGTGATGTTTTATTGGAAGGATTCATTGGCACTGGACCAGGACTTCCATCTTTCCTTCTCCTACCATTTCCAGTAAACAGTGAGCTATAACCATTTTCCTTGAGACGTCAAATGGCTTCTCTCCCTGGAATCTCACTGCCAGGCAGATCTGCTTACACATAGTTAGGCGGCAGCAGTATCCATTCCAACTTGGGAAATACAGGTAAGAATAAAAAGAAACTATTTTTTTTAGTACCATGTGGGTCAGATACAGATGAGCTCGAAGTGGACACCACCACAATCATTTTAAAAACCTATCCGACAAAGATGGGATGAATATGCAATAAAACAAATACAGCAAAATGTTAACTGCAACATCCAATTGGTAGGTAGATAGGTTTTCAATATACAATTCTTCAACTTTTCTGTATGTATATTTAAAATTTTTCCATAATAAGATGCTGGGAAAAATCCAACAAGCAGCTCAAAAAACAATGCTGTGAGGGCCTTTCCTACCATTTTACTCCTAGAATGAGACTATTCTATATTCTCTCTTTTCTGTTTGTTTTAGATATAGCTTTCTTGAATTGGACATGGGAGCTCTCAACTTTTTAATGACATGAAATGAATCACAATATACCCATAGGCAGGTTACCAAGACAATGTGTGGAAGGTTAGGGAGGGTAAAGGGAAAGGCCCTAAGGTCTTGGAAGTCCAGGCTTCCTAACTGTATGAAGTTTGAGTATTTCAGAAACCCCATTTCTTTGTCTGTTAGCATTCAGACCTGGTAAACATTTGCCTTGGCCTACCTTTCTGTTTTAGCTCACATCAGTTTGTTACTTTCCATATTCTCACTGCAAAGAGCTGTGCAGGAAGGAGGGGGTCAAGGGATAAGGCACCAAGGTATGATATGGCCACATTCTTCAGTTAGGATTTAACAAAATGAATTTCTAGAGATGAAGCTCCAAACTTGATGCTGAAGTACATGGTATAACTGACTAACTGCTGGACCCTGGTGGAGGCCTTATAATCAATCTAGCTTGAAGTGTGTTCTAGCTGGCCCACCTGTAAAATAGGAAAAAGACCTGTTATAAAGAATAATGAATGAGGTAAATAAATGAGTTTCTGAGATGCTAAAAATATCTTTGGTGAATGGAGAGGAACATGAAACCATCACCGTCGCTTAGTGATCCAAAGCAGGTTAGGCAATGTTTTTCTGTAAAGGACAGGCCTTATGGGCCACCAGGTCTCTGATGTACTCAACGCTGCTGCTGCAGGACAGAAAGGCCACAGACAAAATATCAACAAATAACATGTGTTCCAAAAAAAACTTTATTTGCAAAACAAGGCAGTCCATGGGCTGCATTTGCCTACCCCTCATCTAGAACGTGCAGTCCTACCCAGGAACACCACTTGAAGGATGACCTGAGGAGGACTGAAAAGGGGATGAGTCTACAGATAGGAACCATTTAGCGCGCCCTGGGCAGTGAGGATGAAGCTCCTGATCTGGCAGCTATCACCCAGGTCCCACCAAGGAAGAGGATGTCAGCAGTAGTAACGGTAGCAACATCTGTAAGTACCAAGGACTGAAATCCAAACACAAAAATAGCATTATCTCAGAAAAACTCTTTATATACATAACTAGAAAGAAACAGCACGTTTCTGACCACATGCGTTGTGAATAACAGTTGACAGTCCAGAGCCTGTGGAGATCACCTTAGCAGGCACACGATAAATGTTTGTTGATGACTCATTCATTTATTCATCCAATAAACATTTACTGAGGCCTACTAATGTGCCAGGCTGGGCTCTGAAGAAGACACTGTCCCTGCCCTCAAGGAGCTTACAGTCTAACTGAGAACATAGGAAGGGAGACAGGCATATACACAGACAATTACAATACAACCTGGTAAGTGCTGCAACACTTATCAGGTTGTATTATAATGGCCGATGTAAAATTTCTTTCCAGGGGGCGCTGCTCCAGGCTGCTGCTGGCTGTAACATCAAGAGAGGGGAGGAAGAGATTGTAGAAATCAAAGGTTAAGGCTTTTAGGCTACTTCAAATACCCAGACGCTCTCCCTAACTCCTGATCAGAGATAGGTTTGGGAACTAGACACTGGCCATGATGTAAAATGGGACTCCCACGCTTCAGACAGAGACATCCAGTAAAGGATCTTCTCAACTACCTCCTCTACAATACAAGCTCTGTTGTTTTGTTTTGCTTATTACACATCTGTGAACCTCCCCCCAACAGGCAGTAAGCCTCCTTTAACACCTGCAACTAACAAAATGCTGAAAAATGGGGGCTTACAACTACCTGGATTAACCCAGTGTAATTCGATAGCAAAAAGCAGTAAGTAACAAATCACTGGGCACCTCTAAATCCTATAATCCCCACCCTTCACTGAAAAAGTAAACATCAGAATGCTATTAAATATATGAGATAGTATAGAGCCCATAGATTGGGAATGATAATTTAGAAAGCTTGACTTAATAAATATAATTAAACAGATTCTCTGGAACCCCAAATAAGAGACCCAGCTTCAGGAAATGTTTTAAGACACCAATTTTAAGAATATCTAAATTTTAAGAATATCTAAATTACCTACATAATAGTAAATAACAAAATAAATAAGAAATATGAAACAAGGAGGTAATACAATTTTCCCAACCACTTTTCAACATTGAGTGATAATAAGAGACTCCTTGAGGAGAGATTACTAGTGTTAACTAATCACTTGGTTCCGATGGTTTTATACAAAGACAGGATGGAATTTTTCTGTGCCCCATACTGTTCTTAGTAAGGCCTAGGGTTTTAATGGCTCTTCTGTCTCTGCAACCAGTAAACTGAGCTGATGACATCAACAGATTGTTGCCATTTAACACTGAGGTCCCCGTCTTCAGACCCAATGTCTTCAAGCCCACTTTTATATGCTTAACATACTACTTCCCCCTGAAGTCTTCTTAATGCTCTTGCCTACACTGTTCCATTCTGCCACTGTCAGCCCACACTCACAATGCCTTCCTTCTCAGGTGTTACAGTCTGTTTCTCCTAGCATTTTACACCCCTGAAGAGTTCAATGTTATCTATAAATGTGGACATCACACTATGTCCACATCCTCCTCCAGATCACTCCTAAGTATTCAAAATAAGATCAGTCCCAGAACGGATGGGGGGGATGGTTCTACTGTTTTGTGTCTTGTCTAAGTTGGTTTCTTATTAGGGACAAAATGTTGCCCTGTCTTCTTCCCACACCCAAAGCCAGGGTGTACCAATGCTATGCAGCAGCACTCAAGACTGCTCTCTATTTAAATAAAAACACAGGGCTATCTATTTAAAGGACAGACAAATGTTATCTCAAAATGGCTACCAAGAAGCTGATATGTATCCCATTAAACAGTTGTCTTTGGAATCACAAACATTTCTTAACACTCAATGGCAACATATACCAGGAGTATATGTGCAACAAATCACGTTTGCTATTTGCAATAAATGACAGAGGATAATAGATCCTTATACAGAACACATAATACAGAGCTCTTACAAATACAGAACATTCAGACACAAATCGAATAGTTCACAAAGAGCTAATAATTAACATTTGAGAGTCTGGCCTCACCAGGAATCAGAGAAATGGATAGTAAAACAAAGACACCATTCTCTTACATATAAGGTAGCAAAAAAATTTTTTTCTAAATACCTAAGTAACTGGGTACAAAAAAAATGACATAATTTTTTGAATGTTACTATATAGCAAATCTTTATAACGTTCTAACTTTTTGATGAACAATTCTAATTCTGGAACTCCATTCTATAAAGAAATAACTCAAAATAAACAAACAATAAAAACTAAATGAAATTGAAAAGACATTCATTACATCATTTAAAATACTGAAAATTCAAAAATATTTCCATACAAGTAGATACCATGAAACCACCAGATGACAAATGCAAACAATGTTTAATGTGGAAAAATGCATGCTATAATGTTAAACACAAAACACAACATAAAATAGTACAAATACATGATCAACTGTAGAAAAATGCAGGGAATGAAAAGACGTGAACACATTTATAAACACTGGGTCATCTCTGGGCAGTGAAATTACAGATCCTTTCCCCCCAAACTTGATGGTTATCCTCAGATAAAGCTACAATGAATATTTACCAAATTTCTAGATTGAGGGAACTATTCAAACTTAAACAATGGAAGAAAAATTACAAAATAGACAGATATTTGACCACTTGCTTTCGAATCTCTACTAACCCAAAATTTAAAAACAAAAATTAAATGGCAAACAATAACCTGATATATGTAACACTGCAGAAATCTGAGTAATAGCCTTTATCTGAAGAACACTTTCAAATAGAAGAACAATAACACTAAACTAAAACTCCAATAAATAAATCAGTATAAGACCTGAACTAACATCACACCAAAGAAAATTAAACTGCTAAGAAATATATGGAGGAAAAGGAGTCCAAACTCACTAATAACCAAAGAAATGCAAAATTAAAACACTACTGTTTTTTATCCATAACATATATTTTTTAAAACAAACACCACTCAATGCCTGTGTGAGTAAAAACTGGTATGACCTTTTCAGAATGAAATCTGTCAATACATATTGAGTGTTAAAAACTCTGACAATAGTAATCCCACTTCAGCGAATCCATCCTAACCAATAATAAAAAAGAAATGCATGTATTTTCAGTCTTTTATTATAAGAAAAAAATTCTCCTTTATTATTGAACATTTGCATTAACACACCAAAACATTAATAATGGGTAACCAAAAAAAAAAAAAAAATCTCTACTGCAGCAAGACTGCTGTCTCAAAGCATTTGACCAGATCTCAAATCAGGCAAAACAAGAAGGGTGTGTCCAGTCTGCGGCAGTCGGCCATTTTAAGCCCTCTGCAGAACAAAAAGCATAGAAGACAAGGGTAGATAAGGATGGCCACCCCGATAGGCTCCAAATCAACAATTCTTTACTTTTTGTCTTCTCCATATGTAGACCTGTACAATGCACTGAATAAAAAATGGCCAAGAGCAAACAGGTCGCCTTTCTTAAACAGCACAGGTAAATTACAAACAAAATTTGCAATCATAAAAGAAGGGTATTTTAAATTTTGAACCCTCATTTCAGGGTAATAAAGCATAATGTTTAAGAGCACAGCATTATGGAGTTATACAACTTGGATAAAAATCCAGTTTCAGCCATCCAAATGGATGTAAAGCCTTGGGCAAATTACTTAATCATGTGCCCCCCACATTTCTCATTTGTAAAATATGAATAATGGTACTGCTATTTCATAAGATTGTCGAGAGTACTAAATGAGTTAAGGCATGTGTAAAAGCATGTAGACCAGCACCTGCATATAGTTTTATGTGCTACAGACATCTAAACAGAATTATTACTATAGAGAAATGGGCTCAGAGAAGGAAAAGGACCAGTATGAGATCACTGCGAGGATTATTGAGCAACCGCGGTCTCTTCTATTTTGAATCCTGTGCCCTCTGTGCTACATATTTAAGTGCTAAACTATTAGTTTTAGCGATTTACAGTAGAAATTCATTGACAGCCCTCTGGGATCCACGACAGTACAGCTACCTAAAAAAAATCTTTGCCCTGGTTCAAGTTTTACAGAAAAAAAAATAATTTAGAGGAAAGGATATGAACCTAGATCACCTTCATACCATCATTACCATCTGCCCAAATTCTAGGTTTAAAGTGTAACAAGCACTTGGAAACACAGCCAAATCCTCACACCAGTATTCTGCAGTGGGGGAAATCAAGGGCTTCTGACCAACATAACAATAAATTCTCACAATACTGCAATCACTGTGTTCTGCTGCTCTGATGGGACGAGAGAATGTGTCCAGAGCCAAGTACGGCGGCCCACAGTCTGACAGAGAGCCCTCCAAATGTGTATTGCCGGAATGTGGCCTGGCTCCACTGCTCCAATTTTATGCATTTCCTACACACAGTCAGCTGCCAAAACCTTTTAGACAGTCATATCCTCCCCATTTTCAAACCCACATATAATCAATGGGCCACTGAAAGGCTAAGATTCTGGGTGAATTTCCGGTGGATTTGGCCACAGCCTAAGACATCTCCCAGTCGACAGATCCCTTCACCCAACCAGAAAGGTAGATTCTACTTCTCTGCAGGGCCCCCTAGCCCAAGATGGCCAAGCAAAGACAACTTACCTCCCCCCTCGCCATTTTGCAATCTTAATTACACCCACGGCGCTCGCCTCCCCTCCCCGTCATTCCGTCTGAAATACGCTTGCGCCCCTCTCTCACCCTAAAGCCAACAGTCACAATGTCGTCTCAAGTACGCATGCGCGCCTTCACTTTCCCTCCCAACTGCCGCTGCCAACTGTGTACTAGAAACTTTGCTTTCTTAGTTACGCATTCGACACCCTGCCCCAGCCCCCCGCAACGCCCCAAGCTTGCGCGTGCTCACCTCCCCTATCCCCAACTGGGGCCCCTTCCCTCCGCATCAGGGCCTTCTCAAATATACAAGCGCGATCCCGCGCCTCCCCCAACCTCTCAAATACACATGCGCACCAAGCCCGTCCTCTCCTATGCCCAGCCCTCCCTCCTCCGTTTCTTATATATACTTGCCTGATGCATGTATATATATCGGTAAAGCTGTGCCCCACTACTCAAGGAGGGACACTACCAGCATTTCCTAATGGGGGTCCGTGTGATACACTAGGGAAATGGAACACTGCAGGTGACTGCAGAGAGCAAATCTCGACGGAATCCGCCCCGGCCCCCAGGGAGGAGCTGGAGGACGCTCAGTCTCCGTAATAAGATCCACTACCCAGAACAAAGGCAAAGAAAGCTCTCATAATTGGATAAGCCTACTCCTAAGGCCCATCCTTTAAATACACCTCTGCTACGTACGAGGGACCCCCAATTTTTTAACAACGTTATGGAAAATACCGACGCTCATGTGCCTCAACCATGATTAGAGTAAAGGAGTCTATAGCCTTTCACAATGGAAAGTACACTCTCAACATCCTTTTGTAGGTTTGAGACCGATGCTGTCCCCCACTTTTTCCTCTCGTGAACCGGGAGAATACTCAGATTAAGGATCTCCCCGTCCCGAGTTCCCTCCGCCGCCCTCCATGTTCTTCTCCTACCTTCTGGCTGAATCGAGCGTCGTAGCACGAATTCATAGTGCTGGCCACCGAAAAAGAGAGTAGGGGGAGCAGCGGCACAGATTCCGCGGGTCTAAGGTGGCTACACAGGCCAAGGTAGAACTGGACAGGCGAAAAAAAACCAGCGGCGCCTTAAACCGCAGTGCTGATGCAAGTTAAAGGACCGCCTCTCCAGGATCGCCGCAGTAGGCTTCTGGCGCATGCGCTGAGTACGCCCTCTTCTCTCCACCCCCCCCCATTACCGCCTTTCGGAGGTTAACCCTGCGGCCTTCACCTTTTCCTCAGGGCCGGGGTCCCTAGCCCATCCGGCTTCTTCCACGTTTTCTCCCCTTGGTCTCACCGGCCTACGTCACCATCCCTTCTTCAGCCCATCCTTCCTTCATCAATGCCTCTCCTATTCTTAGCTCACCATTTCATTGCCAAGTCTCCCCGTTGGCTGCCTTTATTTGCTCTTTTTGTTCTTTTCGTTGTTGTATAAGTTTTATTGAGACAAAATTTTGTGTCTTACAGTGCACCAACTTAAGGTGTACAATGCAATGGATTGTAGTATATTCAGAGTTGTACAGCCGGCACCGTGATTTTAGAATTTTTCATTAATCCAAAAAGAAACCTCATGCCATTAGCATATCTTTGTGTTCTTTACCTTTTTGTTTAAACATGTAATGTTTTAACATTGACATTTTATTTTTATAGCTGTAACAATGTGCCATCTTAACTATTTTTCCATGTTTCTAATTAGCAGCTTTATCTTTTAAAATAAATGGACACCATTCATTTTTTTAAGTATTGTAAAATTGAGGTCTGACCTCAATTCTTGCAGATGGAGTTACTTGCTCTTTCCACTTCTCTTACTTTTAATGAAACTTCGATAATCTACAATGGTCCCATCTGAAGAGAAATTCTAAAAGGAGGCACAAGTTGGAAATTTTGAATCCTATAAAATACTTCGAGTTCTGGGCCTACCTATTTGTCTGAACTTCCCAGTTCAGAAGTGGTAAAGGAGAAATTTGGAGACCTCTAATTTATCCACCCATTTTAGGCTGACATTCCGAGGCTGTATTTCCCTCTCTATATACTCCTAGAGGATGTGATGGTTAATTTTATGTGCCAACTTGGCTGGGCCACGGTGTCTAGATATGTGGTCGAATATTATTATTTCTGTGTTTCTGTGAAGGTGTTTTTGGGGGAGATTAACATTTAAATCTGTGGACTTTGAGTAAACCAGGTTACCTTCTATAATGTGGATGGCCTTATCCATCATTTGAAGGCCTTGCTTCCCCAAGCAAGAGAGAATTCTCCTAGCAGATAGCCTTTAGACTTGAACTACAATATCAACTCTTCCTAGATTTTGGGCTTCCCAGATAGATATAAATATATAATTATAATTATAGATATATTAATTATAGCCATGTTGGAGATATATATGTATCATATTGGTATGGTCATATATATCCATATATATATAGATAGATAGATAGATATCATGTTGGTTCTGCTTCTCTGAAGAATCCTGACTAACACAGAGGATTTCTTGAAACCTTTGAATACCCTGAACTGAGATTGGGATACAGGGAGAAGAGGCAATCAAGAATACACTATTAATCCCTTGAATACAGCTTTGCATTGTCATATTCTGCATCAGCGAAATCTAACATGGAACTGGACTTAAATTTGAAAAAGCTATCATTACAAGGATATAAAACAACTGAGGAAATAAGTACCCTGGTCTTCTCAGAGTCCAGTAATTTTTCCATGATAGTACTAGTCTACATTGGCACAAGAACTTGTCTGTTCTTTGTCATTTTTGAGGAATGAGGCAATGGGAAAACAAAGACTGGCAAGATGGTACACTATCAAACTCATGTTAGTAATGGCCTTAATTTCATTGCTAAAGGCTAATTAATTTGAATATGTGAACAAAATGGCTAAGAGATCAAGTAATGGGATTGTTTTGTTTATTGACTCCCTGATAAATTACCTGGGGAAAAAAACCTCTTGCAACAAAAATCCAACCAGGGGGCAAAAATGAGATACACTATGGCCTAGAATCCATCCAGTCTTGTGTATGGGTAATAGAAGATATCTGGTTAGAGAGCAAAAATGTGTCATTTTAGAGGACGTGTATGTTTTTAAGGAGGTCATAATTATAATTTAGGAGATATTTTTATCAGTCAGGATTCATGGTAAGGAGCAGAAAACCCACCTGTATTTTAGATGTAGGAAGGAGTTTAATGTAAAAAATTACATGCCTACAAACTACTTGGAAGGAAAAGAGGAACAGGTTCTAGGTGGAGTCTCAAGGAATAACTCCCAGAAGAATATAGAACTAACCAACCAGAGTTCTGTTACCACCGCTGCTGCCACCAAAGTCCTGCAGGCACATTTCCCAGCCCCCCTGCCCAGGCCCTGCCTCCCCAGCAGCCACCACCCTTCAAAAAACCACCTAACAGAGAACATGGCTGAGACTTAAGATTCCCGAGGGGAAAAAAAAATGGGTCAGGTGACTGCTTTGCCCTGAGCCTGTCCCCTCCCTACAAAATATACATTTCTGGCAGCTGGACATGGAGAAATAATATGAGGCCTTGCAGTGGGGACCTGTCCTCTGGCTGGGGGCTTGAGAGTCCATTTGGACTAGGGTTTGGGCTTCTGGGGTAAGGTAGCTCTTGGATGGGTGGGATGGGGGAAAGGATTGATCAGGTTTGAAATCCCTTCCCAATCCAAAATATCCCCATCTGGCTTGAGGGACCATGGAGTGAATCTCTGCATGGGCATCATTAAAGGTAGAGGTCCTGGTCTGGTGGGGGTTCTCTAGATGGAGGCTACAAGCTGGTGTAAGTCATTTTCACTGTGTCTGTGTGTTCAAATCTGAGTCTTGGAGACACAGAACTGGACTTAGGGGTCTTGGGTGGGTAAGGGGCTCAGATCAGAGATTCTTGGCCTAGAAGCCCTTAGGACAGGGTTTAGGAAATCCAGAATGTGGGCTTGAGAGTTTAAGTACTCCCAGAAGTGGGATTACAGTGTTTCCACTGGGTCTGTGGGCTCCAGTCTCAGATTGTGAGTGTGAACTCTAGGGCCCAGGAAAATGGGGTCCCCATTAGAATTGGGACCATGGATCCATGGTTCTGGCAGCCCCAGCTAGGGCAGAATTTATAGATTACCTCTCAAAACAAACAAAAAACAAAAAGTAAAAAACTAACCAGAATTGCTGGTATCTATGAGGCTCCAACTGCATCCATGAATTTAAGAGTACACCAAAGCCAAAGCCAAAGTGAAAAACCACAGCTTCTTCTGTCACCATCATAACTGATTATTGGCAAACAGTGCTAATGAATGAACATTAAATTATTTGTGTGACAAGTCTGCACAATTCACTTGTCAGGAATAGGCAAATGTAACTGGAAGATGTCACATTTGCTTTCCAAATCTTGAGGACTCGATTCTAATTGATAGATGTTATTTTATCTCCAGAATTATGGCTGCAAGTGAGTATAGAAAGTGGACTTTTGACTTTCCAGCTTTTCAAACAAGAAGGATAATTAAACGAAGTTTGAATAAGCTAGTCCAGAGTACCCAGCTCAGTGATACATACAGTAAAGGGGAAGGTATTCAATTTGGAGCTGGGAAACCTGGGATGTAGTCCTAGCTTGGTCACTGTTTTAATTTGATCTTGGGAAGATTACTTACTCTCTTGGGCCCAACAGAGTTTATCTAGTAGTTATTGAAGAGAAAGATTTTAAGCAAGAGAGTGATGTGGTGAACTTTGCATTTTAGACAAAGCACTTGGTCAAGAGATGATGTAGACCTGCTTTAGAGTAGTTGTGGGTTAGAGAGAAATGTGACACCTTGGAGAAATATTTAAAATGTTAAAGCATTTTATAATGATAAAAAGGATGACTCATCAAGAAATTATAACAACTAAAAACATATATGCACCTAACAAAAGATCCCAAAAATGCTTAGGAAAAAAAAAGACAAAATTAAATAGATAAATGAATAATCCAACAATAATAGTTGGAAACTCAATATTCTATTCATGATAATGGATGCTGCAAGTGGGCAGAAAATCAACAATGATATAGAAAGCCGGAACAATACTATCAACCAAATTAATCTGACATCTAAAGAATGTTCCAACCAATAGCAGCAGAATAAACGTTCTTTTCAAGCCCTCATGAAACATTTTTTCCAAGACAGACCATATGCTAGGCCATAAAACAAGCTTCAATAAGTGTAAAATGATTGAAATTATACAAAGTATGTTCTCCAATCATAATGGAATGGAATTATAAGTCAATAACAAGAGGAAATTTGGGGAATTCACAAAAATGTGGAAATTAAATATTGCACTCCTGAATAACCAGTGGCTCAAAGAAGTAGTCACAAGGAAAATTAATAAACACTTTGAAATAAATGGAGAAAAAAACCACAACGTACCAAAATTTATGGGATGCAGCTCAGAGGGAGTAGCAGTGGAGTATGGGAGTAGTGCGCAGAGGGAAGTATATAGCTGTAAATACCCACATAAAAACAAGAGAGATCTTAAATCAATAACCTAATCCTCCCCCTTAAGAAACTGAACAAAAAAGAGCAAACTAAGCTTAAAGCAAGCAGAAGGAAGGAATAAAAATTATAGTGAAATAAAGAGTTAAAAAAAAAAAAAAACCCCGCTATGGAAAATCGACTAAGCCAAAAGTGGTTTTTTGAAAGATCAGGAAAATTGAAAAAACCTTTAGCTGGACTGGCCAAGAAAAAGAGAGAAAAGACTCAAATTTCCAAAACCAGGAGTGAAAGAGAAGGCATCACTACTGACCTTATAGAAATAAAAGGAGTATAAATGACTATTATGAACAATGGTATGCCAATAAATTAGGTAACCTAGATGAATTAGACAAATTCCCAGAAAGACAAACTACCAAAGCTGCCTCAAAAAGAAATACAAAACCTGAATAGACCCACAACAAGTAAATAAACTAAATTAGTAATTTACAAACTTCCCACAAGAAAGACTCAGGCTAAGATGGCTTAGGTAGTGAAAATTTC